AACAATAAATGCAAGTGAAACATGCGTGGTTCCCTTCAGCTCCCTCATACCTTGGAGGTTGCCCCACTTGTGTCTGTGGAACTTTATTGGAACCAGGACTCCCACCAGGTCACAGGTGCCCTAAGTGCTTTAGTGCTTAGGGACCAACCCACTCATGAAATTTCCGTCTTCACTTCTGACTTGGGCTGAGTCTAGGATACCGGCTGAGACCCACCACCCCTGCATCTCTCAGGCACTGCTGATCCTCATTAACAACCCTCAGAAGTGAAGTTTCACAATTTTGCCCAATAGGCAAAGAGGAAGAGGAGAAGAGACTGGCTCAAAATAAACGCTTAATAAATGTGTTCCCAGGTCTTAGAGTACAATCTGGGTATTGTCTCAAACATGCTCTTCTACCTAAAGCATGGAGATAGAATAAACAGCATTAGACAGAGGTACTGTCTGGGAGACAAGGGGCAGTGATAAGGCAGAAATGACTCTGAAGGTTTGATGGAGAGGGATGGAGAGCAGGGGCTCTGCTCACAGATACAAGGAAGTCAGAGAGAGGAAGTGATAGGGAGAAGCAGCAGCACACGCCCAGGCCTGGAGGGCAGTGCTGGTTGCCTCTGTGGGTGAGTTGACAGTGTTGTAACATCCCCCAGGCCTCCTGCTTCTCTTGGGGTCAGTAACCTTGGCACAGCCCCATTGGCTCCTGCAGGCAGCCAATGTGGAGAGAGGAGTAGCCCTCTATTCTCCTCTCTCTCCCCTCACACACTGAACCAATCCCACTATTCTGGCTCCTGGTTCTCCTTTCTGTGACCCAGTTCTCCCCACAGACAAGCTCAGGTGAAGACCCAGGACAGCTCGTTGGTGTGACCTCATCAGCCGCCTTCTGGCCTCCCCCAGACCCTCACTGTCGGTTCAGGTGTTTCTTTCTCATGGTCCTAAACATAACTGTCACCGACCATCCTCTGTCACAGACATAAGGAAGTCAGAGAGAGGAAGTGATAGGGAGAAGCAGCAGCACACACCCAGGCCCAAAGGCTGTGCTGGTTGCCTCCGTGGGTGAGTTGACAGTTTTGTGACATCCCCCAGGCCTCCTGCTTCTCTTGGGGTCAGCAACCTTGGCACAGCCCCATTGGCTCCTGTAGGCAGCCAAGGAGGAGAAAGGATGAGCCCTCCATTCTCCCCTCTCTCCCCTCACACACTGAACCAATCCCACTGTTCTGGCTCCCGGTTCTCCTTCCAGTGACCCAGTTCTCCCCACAGACAAGCTCAGGTGAAGACTCAGGACAGCTGGTTGGTGTGACCCCATCACCCTCCTTCTGGCCTCCTTCAGACCCTCACTGTTGGCTCAGGTGTTTCATTCTCATGCCCCCCAATGTCCCTGTCACTGTACATCCCTTGCACAAAGCCTGTCCACGGGTCCCCCTTGACTCCAGCCACATACAGCGATCTCCACCCGGCAGTCCATGCTGCTGACGATCAGGTTGAGCTACACTCTCCAGTCCCAGTGAGGCCAACGCCTCCTCCAACCAAACTCATCCCGTGAACCCCCCCCCCCCCCACAACCCGGGTTAGGACCACCTCGTGCCCCCTCACAGGCCCAGTGAGCCCATCAAAACAGAGATGCATCCTCTCCACACCTCCTAGACTAAAACAACTTCTGGCTCCCGGTTCTCCTTCCAGTGACCCAGTTCTCCCCACAGACAAGCTCAGGTGAAGACTCAGGACAGCTGGTTGGTGTGACCCCATCACCCTCCTTCTGGCCTCCTTCAGACCCTCACTGTTGGCTCAGGTGTTTCATTCTCATGCCCCCCAATGTCCCTGTCACTGTACATCCCTTGCACAAAGCCTGTCCACGGGTCCCCCTTGACTCCAGCCACATACAGCGATCTCCACCCGGCAGTCCATGCTGCTGACGATCAGGTTGAGCTACACTCTCCATTCCCAGTGAGGCCAAAGCCTCCTCCAACCAAACTCATCCCATTAACCTCCTCCCCTCCCTGAAACACAACCCTGGTTAGGACCACCTCGTGCCCCCTCACGGGCCCGGTGAGCCCATCAAAACAGAGATGCGTCCTCTCCAAACCTACTAGACTAAAACAACATACATTTATTTCCAAAATGTATTTCCTGTATTTTGGAAATAAAAGCGACAGACTTTGCAATAATCAATGTGTGAATCAAAACAGAAGTGAATGTTTTAGATTAAATGATAATGTAACTATTACACATCAAACCTATGAAATAAAAAAGCATGTGTGCTTGTGTGTGTGTGTGTGTGTGTGTGTGTGTGTGAGCATATGTGTGAGTGTGTGTATGAATGTGCATGTGTGCATGAGTGTGTGGATATGTGTGTGTTCATGGGCCACTGTACCCATCTGTCTGAAGGAAGCAGAGGTGAGGTGGGAGGGTCACATTTGGATGATCATGATCAGCCTTGAGTCCAGAAGGAAGAGCGTGGATTCACCCTGAAGACAGTGAGGACCATGGAAGGTTTTACGCATAAACAGCTTCTGAAAGGGAGTGGGTTAAGGCAGATGTAAAGAGTGAAGCTGTGGAGCTCAGAGCTCAGGAAATTGGTGGACGTGACAGCTGCCTTGGGGGGTGACCTCCCTCCCTGCCTTGTTGACTGGGGACACCAAGGGGCCCTCAGGACAGTGAGCCCGGGAGTGGGGGAGGGAGAAGCTTGGGGGCTGTACAAGGTGCATCTGCTCCCACAGGAAGCTCAATGCCTCCTTCTGGCCCTGGGACACAGGTCCTATGTCTCACACAGGTTCTCCCTGACTTTCTGTCTCTGTGAGCAGCGGGATGTCTCCATGTCCTGGGGGTGAATCATCTGAGTCATTTCTGCCCCTTCAGAGCACCTTTGATGCCGGGTGTCACTCTCCGAGGGCAGTGCTGGTTGCCTCTGTGGGTGAGTTGACAGTGTTGTAACATCCCCCAGGCCTCCTGCTTCTCTTGGGGTCAGTAACCTTGGCACAGCCCCATTGGCTCCTGCAGGCAGCCAATGTGGAGAGAGGAGTAGCCCTCTATTCTCCTCTCTCTCCCCTCACACACTGAACCAATCCCACTATTCTGGCTCCTGGTTCTCCTTTCTGTGACCCAGTTCTCCCCACAGACAAGCTCAGGTGAAGACCCAGGACAGCTCGTTGGTGTGACCTCATCAGCCGCCTTCTGGCCTCCCCCAGACCCTCACTGTCGGTTCAGGTGTTTCTTTCTCATGGTCCTAAACATAACTGTCACCGACCATCCTCTGCACAAAGCCTGTCCACAGGTCCCCCCTGTCTCCAGCCACATCCAGGGATCTCCACCCGGCAGTCCATGCTGCTGACGATCAGGTTGAGCTACACTCTCCAGTCCCAGTGAGGCCAACGCCTCCTCCAACCAAACTCATCCCGTGAACCCCCCCCCCCCCCACAACCCGGGTTAGGACCACCTCGTGCCCCCTCACAGGCCCAGTGAGCCCATCAAAACAGAGATGCATCCTCTCCACACCTCCTAGACTAAAACAACTTACATTTATTTCCAAAATGTATTCCCTGCATTTTGGAAATAAAGCAACAGACTTAGCAATAATCAATGTGTGAATCAAAACAGAAGCGAATGTTTTAGATTAGATGACAATGTAACTATTACACATCAAACCTATGAAATGAAAAACCGTGTGTGCTTGTGTGTGTGTGTGAGCATATGTGTGAGTGTGTGTATGAATGAGCATGTGTGTATGAGTGTGTGGATACGTGTGTGTTCATGGGCAGCTATACCCATCTGTCTGAAGGAAGCAGAGGTGAGAGCAGAGGTAGGAGGGTCACATCTGGATGATCATGAACAACCTTGTGGAAATGCTGAGGCCACTGGGAATCTGCTCAGAAGATCTATACTGATAAAAGGGTAATATGCTAATTAGACTGGACGCCCCTCCAGACAAAGCCATGTTGGCAGGGGCTGAAGCAGAGGTGGTTATACTGGAGAAGGGAGTGAGGGTGTGGAGCTCAGAGCTCAAGCAGGTGGTGGACGTGAAGGCTGCCCTGGGGGTATGAAGGTGACCTCCCTCCTTGCCTTGTTGACTGGGGATACCAAGGAGCCCTCAGGACTATGAGCCCATGGGTGGGGGAGGGAGGAGCCTGGGGGCTGTGGAAGATGAATCTGCTCCCACAGGAAGCTCAATGCCTCCTCTTGGTCCTGGGATGCAGGTACTACGTCTCACACAAGTTCCACCTGACTTTGTGTCTCTCCATGTCCTGGGGGTTGGCAGGCAGAGGTGGTTAGGGATGATCAGGCAGGCAGTCAGGTGTGCAGTTAGGAGCCAGCATTCCTGGATTGTGAGAGGGATGTCCGACTGTTGGTTTAGGTGGGATCGAACCTAAACCGGCAGTCAGACATGCCTGGAAAAGTCCCAGATTGGAAACGGTGCAGGCTAGGCTGAGGGACTGTGACCCCCCGTCCCCCATGAATGATTTTCATTCACTGGGCCTCTAGTTCTTTCATAAATGAGCTCCCTCAAGAGCCGTGGTTGGGTGTCCCATTGGGCTGTTCAGAGCCAGACTCCCAGGGGCCAAGTCAGAACCAGATCCTGGGTCCCACCCTCTCTGAGCAGGAGTCAGACCAGCAGACACATGAGACCCTGAGGATCAGGTGAGACCTCAGACACTGCTGACCAGCCTCCTGAAACCTGGACTCCCTGTGAGCCTCATCCTGGGGAGATGCAGAACCAGGCCCAGGGTGGGGCCCTCCCCTGGCTATGGATCCACAGCTGTGTAAACCCAGAAGGAGGCAGCAGCTCCTGACTCATCACATCCTGTGTGTCTCTGTCCTTCAGGCCCAGGTCACCTCCATCTGCAGAGCAGATGGAGGAAACGAAACCAGCCATTCAATGCAGATGGAGACAGTGGAGGTTTGAGAAATTTAAATGAAGAGACGCCTCATCCAAAGGAGGAGAAGGATGACTCCAGGTCAGACCCCTCATGTGCAGTCACATGGACCCTTCAGTGGGGAGGTCATGGTCTTTCCATCCCATGGCGCTGGGCCAGTGGGTGAGTCTCTAGGACACGGTGAACATCTTACCTGCCTCACAGCATTTGCAATAAGCAATGCCA